CCGACGGTCTCCCAGGGGTGTGCTGGGGGGCTGCGGAGGTGGAGGGAGCTACAGAAGTTCTGGAGTGGGGGGAGTCCTGCTGTGTCCTGTGTGTTGGGACTTTGAGGGGCGGTTGGGGAGGGCTAGGGTTCTCAAAGCCTGGGGGTGTGGTGGGCCCTTGGGCCCTGTCCTACCATAAGGGCTGAAGGGACATCGACGCTGAGGCAGAGGGGGGTCCTGGGCTGACCTCCCCCCACCCACATCCCCTCGTCCAGTGCAGATGGCGGCAGCAGAGGCGGTGCACCACATCCACTTGCAGAACTTTTCTCGCTCGCTTCTGGAGACCCTCAACGGGCAGCGGCTGGGTGGCCACTTCTGCGACGTGACTGTGCGCATCCGCGAGGCTTCGCTGCGTGCACACCGCTGCGTGTTGGCCGCCGGCTCGCCCTTCTTCCAGGACAAGCTGCTGCTGGGCCACTCCGAGATCCGCGTGCCGCCGGTAGTGCCCGCGCAGACGGTGCGGCAGCTCGTCGAGTTCCTCTACAGCGGCTCGCTGGTGGTGGCGCAGGGCGAAGCGCTGCAGGTGCTCACGGCCGCGTCGGTGCTGCGCATCCAGACGGTCATCGACGAGTGCACGCAGATCATCGCTCGCGCCCGCCCCCCCGCCCCAGGCGCGCCCACGCCCGTGCCCCTGCCCACGCCCGTGCCCCCGCCGCTCGCGCCCGCGCAGCTGCGCCACCGCTTGCGCCACTTGCTGGCTGCGCGCCCCCCGGGCCACCTCGGTGCTGCGCATAGCCGCAAGCAGCGCCAACCCGCACGCCTGCAGCTGTCCGCGCCCCCCGCGCCCGCCAAGGCCGAGGGGTCAGACGCTGACCCCACCCTGCCCGCGGTCCCAGACGACGGCTGTGACGACGACGACGAGGAGACCGATGACGAGACCGAAGGCGAGGACGGCGAAGGCGGCGGCCCGGGCGAGGGCCAGGCGCCCCCTTCCTTCCCCGAGTGCGCCGCCGGCTTCCTCACCACCGCCGGTGACAGCGCGCGCGAGCAGCCGCCTGCCCCCGCCGCCCTGTCTGACTACGGCGGCTCCGGGAGGGACTTCTTTCGGGGGGCTTCGGCGGCCGAGGACGTGTTCCCGGACAGCTATGTTTCCGTTTGGCAAGACGAGGATAGCACCGCCACGGAAGGCTGTGCGGCCGAGACCCCGGCCCCGCCCGACTGCGTCCTGTCCGGACGCCGCCCGCCCGGCATAAAGACCCCGGGGCCGCCTGTCGCGCTTTTCCCCTTTCATCTGGGCGCTCCCGGGCCGCCTGCGCAACCCCCAACTGCGCCCTCGGGGCCAGTCCCTGCGCCCCCGCCCGCTTTCTACTCCCAGCTCCAACCGGACGCGACTCCCAGCGCGCCTCTGGGGGAGGCCCCGGCCCCGCCCGCCGCCCCCTCGGCCACCGCTGCGCGCGCCCCGGGCGCCGAGCCGCCCGCCTATGAGTGCAGTCACTGCCGCAAGACGTTCAGCTCGCGGAAAAACTACACCAAGCACATGTTCATCCACTCGGGTGAGCCGGGGCGGGTCTCGGCCCCTTGGTTTTTGGAGAGTCCAACATGAGGGGGGAGTGGGCGCTGACGCGGTTCTGTTGCTCTTTCGTGACCACAGGGGAACCTGGAAATTGAGCCCCGGAGTGAAACGCGTGGGGGGGGGGTGGAGAAAGCCCCTCCACATGTAGCCAACACTCCTGCTGGTCCCCTGCCTCGCTTTATTGGGGCAGGGGGAATCCGAAGGCTGGGTTGGGAAGCAGGAACCTTTGGAAATCTGGCGGTGGAGCCTTGAGTCACCATGATGGAGCTTGGGATGCGCAGGAGGGATGGAGCCTTGGCAGGGGGATGTGGCCAGGTTGGGGAGTAGTAGTGCAGGAGGCCTCCTGGATCTCCTGGATGCCGGCGGACCCAGTGCAAGGAAGGGTGGGTTCGCTGGCCTAGGGAGACAGCAGAGAGGTGACCTGATCACGGCCGGAGAAAGGAGATGGGGCTGCGGTGCGGGGACTCCACAGCTGCTGAGGAAGGAAAGGGAGGCTCCTTGAAGGCCGAGGGCAGGTCCCCACAAACCTGGAACCTCAGCTGTGGCTCTGTCAGGGAGGCGGCTCCTGCTCCGCAGCGGCTGGGGGAGAGGTAGAGAGTGGGTGAGGGTGGTGTGCGGGGGTGGAGGGAGTAGTGTTGTGGAGCGAGGGCCTGAGGTGGTGCCTGGCAGGTCCCCGGTGTGTCTCAGGGAGGGTGCAGGGTGCTCCCTGGGGGCTGACGTGGAGGCCCCGGGTATGGAGCTGCATGTGGTTAGGAAAAGCAAAGATTTGCCTGGAAGGCCAATGGGAGTGGAGTGGGGAGTTCTGCAGGGCCAGGAACTTGGGATTTCATTGTGAATGGTGAGGAAGGCATCACTGTTCTGAGCTAGGGAGTGACAGAGATGTGATTTACAGTTTAAAATCTCCAACAGGCTTCCTTGGGAACAAGGAGAGAGAGCAGGGGCCCCAAAGGAGCACCAGTCAAGATTTGCCAGCTTTGTGTGGCCTTAGCCAGGTGCCAGGCCTGGTTGGTCTGGGGAAGCCCCTGCCGGGCACTACCTTGCAGTCAGTCCCCTGCTGCTGACAGAGACTTTTTGTTAATACCTGTTGACTAGGGACCAACACAGCCTGCCTCCCCTTCTCTGATCCAGGATGAGGGGCGCAGCCTGCTCTGTCAGCGCGGGGACATTATAGCGGCCAGCAGGCAGGGGTTCTGGGCAACACAGGATTCCAGCAGGAAGGGGGCACACTCTCTTCCAGTGTGAGGGTGCTGGGCCTTGCCAGACTGTCCCCGGAACGGTGGCCAGCGATCAGAGTTCAGCATGCTCTATGGGCATGGCAGGGATGGGGGAAGGGGAGGTCTTGCCCTGTAACAGGCGCGGTGTGGTTTGGGGGAGACCTGAGTGGTCAGTCCCGACGAGCAACGATGTCCTAGACCAGCAGGGTTCCCTACTAGGAGGGTACTTGTTGGAGGTGGTGGACCCTGACAGACAGTGGTATCCCTGTATGATGGTGAGGGTCTGGGAGAGGGGACGTCCCATACTGAGGCATGTGTGGGGGTGCCTGTTAGACAGGAAGGTCCGGGAGTGAGGGGTAGTCCAGGAGTGGAGGGGGTGTCCCTGCTGGGCAGGAGGATTCCGGTTTATGGTTTGCCCGGGCGTGGAGGGGAGCCCCTGCCCAGCAAAGGCGCCCCAAGGCTCCTTCCCAGCTGACTTTCGCGCCCGGCCGCCCTGTCGCCCGCAGGGGAGAAGCCCCACCAGTGCGCGGTGTGCTGGCGCTCTTTCTCGCTGCGCGACTACCTGCTCAAGCATATGGTCACGCACACGGGCGTGCGCGCCTTCCAGTGCGCCGTCTGCGCCAAGCGCTTCACGCAGAAGAGCTCGCTCAACGTGCACATGCGCACGCACCGGCCCGAGCGCGCGCCCTGCCCCGCCTGCGGGAAGGTTTTCTCGCACCGCGCGCTGCTCGAGCGCCACCTGGCCGCCCACCCAGCGCCCTGATCCAGGCCTCGGGCCTGGCCACACCCACCGTGGGGTCTGGGACATCGGTGGGGCTAGGCCACTCCCACTGCAGGACTGGTAACGTCCCTGCCCAGCGGAGTCACACCCGCCGCGGTGCCTCGACCACGTTCCTGTCACCAGACCATGCTTTCCCCTGAGCGCAGGCCCTCCCCCTGCTTCCACCTATTTCTCCAGACCTGACCAGTGGCCCAGGCCGCCTTACTCCTCTCCTCCCGCATACTCAGACCCTCCCCGTGGTGGCGGGCTGTGGCTGGGGATGGTCAGGCCCCGACCCTCTCTGAGAACTGGATCATCTCTAGCCTGAACTGGACGCTCAGATCCTGGGAGCCAGGCACATGATTGTGGCTTGGACTTAGGCTCGCCCCCCCGCCCCCTCCCATTAGTGGGTTAGGGTCTAAGGTTGCTCTTCTGTCCCAGTGTCAGGCTGGGCGAGGTCCCTGGCTCCCATCTCCAAGCTGGCCCTCCATCTGGCTCCTAAGGAGGCTCAGGTGGACCCCTCATGGACTGGGGCCGGGCTTTGGGACCCCCGCTCTGTAATAAAGAACTGTGGGCCATGGAGCCCAAACCTGGAAGCTGTGAGCTCCTGGACCTGTGTGTTCCTCACCATCACAGGCTGGCTGTGGGCGTCGGGTCCGCACCGCCGTCCCTGGGCAGCACCCCGCCCCCACCCTGGGCTCCTCTGGGCAGCACCCCACCCCCACCCCGGGCTCCTTTGAGCAGGGACGATCTGCTTCATCTCATGCCTCTGTTTTCTGGTTGGGAATGGGGTGCACATATGACTGGTGCTTGACCTTCCTAGAGCCCTCGGTCCTGTGGGGAGGGGTACAGGCCAGCTCCATCTGAGGTGGGTGTCTGAGAGGGAGGCCATGTGTGGGCACCCCTTGGCCACAATCCCAGCTGCTGCTAAGATGCAGATTTCGAGGCCCTTTTCCTGAGTCTTCCAGCCAGACTCGCAAGGCCATTTGGACTTCAAACTGCCCCTCCCCTTTCTAGTGGGCGTGATGGTTGAGCACTTTACTTTTGGGGGGCCCAGAGGGTCTTTGAGGAGAAGCTGCCATGAAGGTATCTGAGCCTCAGGATACCTGCCCTAGCTGGCAAGTAGGGGGCTGGGGGATGGGGGGAGTGGCAGCTGGACCCTTGGGCTGCCCACTGGGTGGCTGGCCAGCCAGTGTCATGGACCCGGCGACAGGAGTGCTTGCAGCAGATTTCCCTTGCTATCCTGCTGGTTTTCCATTTGGCATGACTGGAACGTCAGTTTGCTGAAAGCAGGGATTTCTGCCTGTTTCCCAAGTGCCTGGCCCACAGCCAGTGGCGGCAGAGGCCAAGGGGCCGGAGCCACGCAGAGGACCAGGCAGAGTGAAACACACAGGTGGGGTTAAGAAGGGCTAGGGGCGGAGTCCTGGGGCCGGAGCACCACTGTCAAGAGCCCCTGGCCACCCCAGGCGGTCGGGGCTGATAGGCTGCCTTGGGAGGCCAGAGATCGAGGCCAAGTCACCCGAGGGAAGAGGTGAGCATTCCGTGGACGTTTCTCTGAGGACGAAGCAGGTGCAATGGACGTCAGGCTGCGACTGGCCTTCTTGCTGTTGCTGCTGTTCCTGCTTCCATGCCTGGGGCAGCCAGTATGGCCTTCAGCCGTGGCCCTGGCACTGCGCTGGCTCCTAGGGGACTCCACCTGCTGTGTGCTCCTTGGCCTGGCCCTGCTGGCTTGGCCCTGGCTTGGCCCCCAGATGCCCCATTGGCTGAGTCTGGGGACCGCGGCCCTCACACTGGCCTTGCTGCCCGCACAGCTGCCTCCCGGGCTGCGCTGGCTGCCCACCGATGTGGCCTTTATCATCAGGATCCTCCGCCTGAGCCTGGACACCAGGGTGCGCTTGAACCGCCGGCCGCCCGACACCTTCGTGGATGCCTTTGAGCGGCGGGCACGAGCACAGCCAGGCCGTGTGGCCTTGGTGTGGACAGGGCCGGGGGGCCGCTCGGTCACCTTCGGGGAGCTGGATTCCCAGGCCTGCCGTGCGGCGTGGGCCCTGAAGGCCGAGCTCGGCGGCTCCGAGGACCTGCGTGCCCAGGAGCCTGTTGCCTTCCTTGTGCTGCCCTCCCAGGCCATTCCTGCCCTGGGTCTGTGGCTGGGCCTGGCCAAGCTGGGCTTCCCGGTGGCCTGGATCAATCCGCACGGCAGGGGGGCACCCCTGGTGCACTCAGTGCTGAGCTCTGGGGCTCGGGTGCTGGTGGTGGACCCAGGTGAGAACCCCAGTTGCCGGCGGGGGATGGAAGGGGCTGGGGACAGGAGCAGGGGATGGACGTAGAGGACTACTGGTCCCAGGGTCCTGGCGGGGGGCTGGGCAAGGAGCTCCTTACTCCCACTCACCCCCACAGGCAATTAGAGGCAACACTTAATTGCTGGAAAGTAATTCTGAGGGCACCAGCATTTTTTGTTTTGTCTTTCACCATGGCTATTTCATTCCTTTTTGCCAAAAATACTAACTTTGAGTTCTTGACAGAGGAACGCAGCTTTTTTCTGCTGGCTGCTTCCTCTGTGGCTGGCCTTGGGCTCCTCTCCTCCGTCACTGGGTCTCGGGTTAGCCCCCCTTGTGACCTCGAAGGTGGGCCCTGCCTCAGTTTCTCCTCTGACCCATCCCTGCAGACCTCCGGGAGAACCTGGAGGAGGTCCTTCCCAGGCTGCAGGCAGAGAATATCCGCTGCCTCTACCTCAGCTGCTCCTCCCCCACGGGGGGCCTGGGGGCTCTGGGGGCCGCGCTTGAGGAGGCACCGCCAGACCCCGTGCCCGCTGACCTGCGTGCTGAGATCACACCACGAAGCCCTGCCGTGTTCATCTACACCTCGGGGACTACCGGTGAGGGCGCCTGGCAGCCCTAGACCTCTGAACTCTCATGCTGACCTGACCCCAAGCCTGACCTGTGCCTCAAACTTGACCTCTGAAACCCTGCCCTTTGATTGTGACACCTGACCTGAATTCTGACCCCCAATGTGAATCCTGCCTGTGCCCAGTAAACAGCATCGAAACCCTCACTGATTCCAAATCCAATTTGTCCTTCTGAACCCACCCACAAATCCCCATACTTGACCACCTTCTGAGAGCCTCAAACCCCAACCGTGGAGACCCACCCCTGCATGCTGACCCCTCTTGTGCTGTCCTCTCACCACCCCACCCTTCCCACTCTTTTGTCCTCTAGGGCTCCCAAAGCCAGCCATCCTCACGCATGAGCGGCTGCTGCAGATGTGCAGAATGCTGTCCTTGTCTGGGGTTAGAAATGACGATGTTGTGTATACAGTCTTGCCTCTGTACCACGTGATGGGGCTTGTCGTTGGGGTCCTCGGCTGCCTGGAGCTCGGTAAGCCCTTCCCTAAGGACCCCTCCAATCCACGGGACCTCCAGACTGGATGTCAGAGTGGGGCTGTCAGGGTGACAAGGTCCCATAGGTTACCCAGCACCCTGGGAACTTTGCTTTGACAAGGGACACACAGTAGCGAGCCCCAGGGCTACCTGGACAGAGGCTTGGACACCCAGATGGTCCCTAATGGCTGTGCTGTGGTCAGGAGATGACAAGCGCTGACATGAGTGCTGTTCACTCTTATCAACTCTCATTTGAGGAGGAGCCAGTGAGGGAACGCTCACCAAGCATTCCATCGGGCTGCCTCCCTGGACACCTGACTAGGAATGCAGACCGACCTCTCCACAGTCTGTTTTTTTTTTTTAATTTTATCATGAAAATTGTGAAACATAAAAATTTATAAATTTTTCTACATGAAGTCTCATGTACCCGTCACCCAGCTTCAGCCACCCATCAAGTGTTTTGCTGTCCTGTTTCATTTGTCACCTCCCCCCTGCTTCCGCTTGTCTCTTTTACGCTCAGATCTCATTAGAAATTTTTTTTATCATGGACAATTTCAGACATACAAAAAAGAAGAGCAAATAGTTTGATGATATCTCACATATCCTCACCCAGCCTCAACAACTGTTAATGTGTTGCCAATTTCGTTTCTTTCTGGATTATTTTAGAGCAAATCCTAGACACTGCATCTTTTGGCTTGTAAATATTGCAGTATGTATTTCTAACATATAAGGACTTAAAAACCTGTAGGGCCGGCCCCGTGGCTTAGCGGTTAAATGTGCGCGCTCCACTGCTGGTGGCCCGGGTTCAGATCCCGGGCGCGCAACTATGCACCGCTTCTCCGGCCATGCTGAGGCCGCGTCCCACATACAGCAACTAGAAGGATGTGCAACTATGACATACAACTATCTACTGGGGCTTTGGTGGGGAAAAAAAAAAAAAAAAACGAGGATTGGCAATAGATGTTAGCTTGGGGCTGATCTTCCTCAGGAAAAAAAAAAAACCTGTAAGCCATAGTGATTATCACATCTCATTAAATTAACAGTAACACTTTTTTTTTTTTTTTTGTGAGGAATATCAGCCCTGAGCTAACATCCATGCCAATCCTCCTCTTTTTGCTGAGAAAGACTGGCCCTGGGCTAACATCTGTGCCCATCTTCCTCCACTTTATATGGGACACCACCACAGCATGGCCTGACAAGTGGTGCCTCGGTGCGCGCCCGGGATCCAAACCCAGGCCACCAACAGCAGAGCGTGCGCGCTTAACCGCTACGCCACGGGGCAGGCCCCAACAGTAACTCTTTAATATCGTCTGCTGCACACTTCATGTTGAAATTTCCCCAGTTGTCTAATTGTCTTTTTACAGTTAAAGTATCCTCATTGTACTTGCTTGTTTGGTCTGTGCTCCTCTTTCCCCCGCACTCCATTAGACTGGAAATTCCCTTAGAGATGTTGTTAGATTCCGTTCAGTTATTCTTGAATTGTGCATTGTGCTTCCTATTTCCTCACACTGGAGGCAGCTCATAACTGTTATCCTACCTCAGAGACGCTAAGATGAATTGAGGAGCTTTAATAAGAAAACTCCCTATCAACCTTCCCCTTGGTTTTACCAGCTCTTGAAGACCTTTCCTGAATCAGGCGTTTCATTAGGGGTTGCAAACAAAGCTGTCGCTTTCAAGGACCGGCATCCATTTTCACAGAGACAGCTTTATCTTTTACCTCTCTGCCAAAAATATAGCCTCAAAGAAGACACACACTTGCTGCCTCACCAAGCACATGAGCAGTTATCCCCTGGGTGCAAGGATGTTGATATTTGGCTTGCAGGGCTTTGTTGAGGATTAGGGCTGAGGTAGGGAGAGTGCCTTCCACAGAGCCAGCTGCAGAGGAGGTGATCAGAAAAGGAAGGATCACTCTCCTGGAGTAATGTAGTGGCCCCTAAAATTTATTAATCCATGTGTCCATCCTTCAAAACATCTATACATCCATCCATCCATTTGTCAACTGAAATAAAAAGTCTGGGTAAAGGTTAATTAAAAGAGTCTATTTGATAATCAAGGTGAGGAATTCAAATCCCAGGAAACAGTCCAACAGAGTATTCTGAGGAACTGCTCCAAGGTGTGTGAGTTTAAGTGCAGCTTATGTCTCTTTCACAAAATAGTGCACATGTAGGGAAGAGGAAAAGAAAAGAAACTTACAACTAGATTTCGTATATATCAAAAAGGGATATGGGGGCCGGCCTGGTGGCGCAAGCAGTTAAGTGTGCGCGCTCTGCTGCAGTGGCCCGGGGTTCGCCGGTTTGGATCCCAGGCACGCACCAACGCACCGCCTGGCAGGCCATGCTGAGGCGGCGTCCCATATAAAGTGGAGGAAGATGGGCACGGATGTTAGCCCAGGGCCAGTCTTCCTCAGCAAAAAAAGAGGAGGATTGGTAGATGTTAGCACAGGGCTGATCTTCCTCACAAAGAAAAAAAAAAGGGATATGATACATCTGCTTTTTCTCTGGGTTAAACGTTAAAATTCTTGCTTATGTTTAAGCAAGAATTCCTTGGTTATATACCAAACGAGTTCAGAGATGCTGACATTATCTACGTGTGGAGGGAGGCAAAAACCAGGGTTGTTAATTATTCCCTCAATCTCCAAGAAATGCAACTGTGGATGTAGGAGCGAGTACCCCTTATCCTTTCCTGTTGCTGATGTCTCCAGCTGGTGTCTTCAGTCATGAGACGAGGGGTTGCAAGGTCATTTGACACAGGCTGAAGATGGCCAGCATGGCTGCTTCACAGGACAGTGTAGATTTTTATTGTACTGACTTAAAGCCTATGCAGTTTGCTTGCTAGTTTGGCTGTTAGACCAGGGAGAAGGGGTCCTAAAAATCTGTCCACACATCCATCCATTAATCCACTTTTCTATCACCCACCTATCCATCTGCCCAGCTAGACATTCATAAAACATTTATCATAATCAAGAATGATTAATATTCACAGCCCTCGTTTAGCAGGGCTCACTTTGTACCAGGCACCGAGCTTTCCACACATTCTGGAGACAAGATTTGACCCCAGATCCACCTATGCTCTTCTCAGGGGGGCAGTCCTGGATGGGCCAGGGACACAGAGATGAGCCCAGTATCACCCTGTGCTTCGGGGGCCACCGTCAGGTGATCAAAGCAGCTTCTCCATAGGTTTGGAAGCATGACCTAAAACCCTTTCCTCTCTTCCCTCCCAGGAGTGACCTGTGTCCTGGCCCCTAAGTTCTCTGCCTCTGGCTTCTGGGACGACTGCCGGCAGCATGGTGTGACTGTGATCCATTATGTGGGCGAGGTCCTGCGGTACCTGTGTAACACTCCCCAGGTGAGGTGGTAAGATTAGGGCTCCATGGTGAACACCCCAGGTATGAAATCCCAGACATCATCCCAGGTAAAGGTCTCAGGTAGACTCAGGTACAGGACTCAGGCAAGAGCCACAGATTATGAGTCCCACACAAGGTTTCCAATCATGGCTCCTTTGACGATCAGCTGTACTACCTTGGGCAGGAGATTTCACCTCCCTCAGCCACAGTGTCCTCATTTGGAAAACAGGGATACTAGCTCAGGGGGTGCTGTGAGAATTAAACACATAAAGTGCCTACAACAGGGTATGGCTCAGGGCAAACTCACTAGTTGTGAGCAGACCTCATCCTTACAGAGCAATGAGGTGTGGACCCCTGGTGACTATATCCAGGCAAGGTCCCCATGTATTCCTCCAGATAAGGCCTCTAGGTAACCCCTCAGGGAAAAGCTCCAGGTAACTACCCCCAAGTAGGCCCCCAGGTAACTCCCCAAGATGAAGCTTCAAGTCACTCCCCAGGTTACCTCCAGGTAAAGGCCCCTAGTAACCCCTCCAGATAGGGCCTCCAGGTAACCCCCCCAGGAAAAAGTTTCACGTATGTACCCCTATATAAGACCCCAGATATTTCCCCTCAGTAAGACCCCAGATGAGGCCTCCAGTCACCCTTAGGTATCCCTCCAGATAAGGCCCCCAGGTAACTCCCCTGCAGGTAATACTCCCAATACAGACTCTAGGTAACTACTGTCAAATAAGAACCTCAGGTAGGGGCCGGCCCCGTGGCTTAGCGGTTAAGTACGCGCAATCCGCTACTGGCAGCCTGGGTTCGGTTCTCGGGTGCGCACCGATGCACCGCTTGACTGGCCATGCTGAGGCAGCGTCCCACATACAGCAACTAGAAGGATGTGCAACTATGACACAGAACTATCTACTGGGGATTTGGGGGAAAAAAAGGAGGAGGGTTGGCAATAGATGTTAGCTCAGGGCTGGTCTTCCTCAGCAAAAAGAGGAGGATTGGCATGGATGTTAGCTCAGGGCCGATCTTCCTCACAAAAAAAAAAAAGAAGAAGAACCTTGGGTAGATCCCCTAGGTATAGGCCCCCCTCACCTCGCAGGCAACTCCTCAGGTAAGGACCCAAGATAGCCCCCCCAGGTAAGGGTTTCTCCTCACCTTTCTTGGGATGTACCTGCAGCGACCAGAGGACCGGACACACACAGTCCGCCTGGCCATGGGCAATGGACTCCAGGCAGATGTGTGGGAGACCTTCCAGCAGCGCTTTGGCCCCATTCGGATCGTGGAAGCCTACGGCTCCACAGAAGGCAACATTGGCTTCCTCAACTATCCAGGGCGCTGTGGGGCCCTGGGCAAGACAAGCTGCCTCCTTCGAGTGAGTGGGTTGGGTGTGACAGTGGCCCTGACTGAGGCTGAGCTCACAGGACCTCTGCTGACATCTCCCCACCCTCCATTCAGATGCTGTCCCCCTTCGAGCTGGTACAGTTCAACGTGGAGGCCGAGGAGCCCGTGAGGGACAGTGGCGGCTTCTGCATCCCTGTGGGGCCAGGTTTGGTGGTCGGAGAACCGTCCCTGGGTGTGGGAAGTGGGGAGGACCCTCAGTTTCCTCTCTGGTAGACAAGCGGCCCAAAGCCTTGAAGTCGGTGCCCAGTGGTGATGTCTGCAGCCCTCACCCATACCCTGAGTCCCCGTCTATCTGATCACCGCCTGGGACCCTCAGCTTCTCAGCTCTGCCCAGCTCCCCTGCCTCCATCTCTTGCTCTGCTGGGTCTCGGGGTGTCCATTTTCTCCGGCTTTCTGTGGAAGCCACGTCCTCCCAGGCATCAGTCTCTTGTCCTGTACCTTCTAGGGTCTTCTTTCCTGGGGCCTTGCAAGGTACTGGGCATCTCTCCTTCCACCACCATGTCTGTGTCTCTCGTGCATCCCTGTTATCCTTTCCCTATTTCTAGGGGCTCCCCGCTGCCACCTTCTCTCTCCTGTCTCTCATTTTCTGTCTCCCTGCCTCTGTCTCCCATTTCTGGGTCTCCCTGTCTCTATCTCGGGGTCTCTCTGCCTCTTCTCTGGCAGGTTGCGGGGGGATGAAGAGTCCACCATTGTTGGAACTCTCCGGCCGGCGGCTGGTGGGCTCCTGAGGTTGTTGTCCGTGGTTAATGCCCCAGCTCCTGCTCCTGCCCCCAGGGGAGGCGGGGCTCCTGCTGTCCCAGGTGCTAGGCCGCCAGCCTTTCCTGGGCTACCGTGGGCCCCGCGAGCAGACGGAACGGAAGTTGGTGCAGAACGTGCGGCGCCGGAACGACATCTACTATAATACGGGGGACGTGCTGGCCATGGACCACGAAGGCTTCCTCTACTTCCGTGACCGCCTCGGGGACACCTTCCGGTCCGGGGCGGAGCTGGGAGGCGGGACCCCTGGGCTTCCTGATCCTGGAGGGAGCCAGGGTGGAGAGGCGGGACTCCCGGATTCCAGAGGGAGTGGGGTTTCTGCATCCTGAAGGGGGCGGAGCTGGACAGTGCGAGCTCTAAGATCCCGCGGGAGGCGGGGCTTCTCGCCGGGGGCGTGGCCGCTAGCGCCGGGCTCCAATCCCGCAGGTGGAAGGGCGAGAACGTGTCCACGCGGGAGGTGGAAGGTGTGTTGTCTCTTGTGGACTTCCTGCAGGTGGTGAACGTCTACGGTGTGTCTGTGCCAGGTGCGGAGGGTTCACCTCATTTTAGACCTCCAGCAGCCTTATGGGCGGAGGGTTGCTACCCATTTCACAGGTCGGGGCGCCGCTGGGGCACAGCCAGTGAGCAGAGCTGGGCCAGGCAAGAGGGTCAGCCATGGGCCCTGTGAGGTAGGTCAGCCGAGAGTGACCGCTGTGCTTTCCAGGGTGTGAGGGCAAAGTGGGCATGGCTGCTGTGCAGCTGGCCCCCCGCCAGACCTTCGATGGGCAGAGGCTGTACCAGCACATCCGCACCTGGCTCCCTGCCTACGCTGCCCCCCATTTCATCCGTATCCAGGTGAGCTCAGGGGGGCAGGTGTAGGTGGGTGGGAGAGGGAGACCGAGGCCGGGGAAGTCACCGTTGGTCACTGCCCCTGCAGGACACCCTAGAGATCACGAGCACATTCAAACTGGTGAAGTCCCGGTTGGTACGTGAAGGCTTCAATGTGGGCGTCATTGCTGACCCCCTGTTCGTGCTGGACAACCAGGCCCAGGCCTTCCGGCCCCTGACGCGGGACACGTACCAGGCTGTGTGCGACGGAACCTGGAGACTCTAACCATCTAGCCATTCCACATCTGGACATCCGAAGGGGCAGAGCCCAATGCTGACCACCAGCCACACCTGCAGTGTCACCTCCACCCCAGCCCTGCATGGGGTCTCATCCCCAGCTGCACAGGGTGGGACGACACTGAGTCCAGAAGCAGAGTGAGAATAAACTTGGATGTACACAGATGTCTGGGGCAATGGAGAAACAAGGGAGGAGTGCAGGGCCCAGTGCCCTCCAGGAACCTTACTTCAGGGTCCTCCCTGCCTCCTCACCAAGGGCCTAGCCTCAAGGAGTCCCCTGTCTGGGCAAGGCTAGGGGTGTGGGAGGAGCCGGCAGCCTCGCAGCCCCTGCAGGGTGGAGAGATGAGAGCGCTGACTCCATCTGTGGGATCTTTGTGGCCTGACAGGGCGGGTCTGGGCTGGCGGATGTGGATGTGGTCTGCAGGATGCAGGGAGAAGTGCTATGATGGGCGATCTGACAAGGGCCGGAGAGTGTTGGACTGAGGCAAGAAGACTGAACAGGAAGTAATTGGGAGAGGAGCGTTCCTGGCACAGTGCACGTGCAAACGCCCTGGGGCAAGTGGGGGTAGGGGGAGCGGGTGAAGAAGCCTCTGGAAAATGGAGTCCGCAGTGTCTCAGGGGCCAGAAGTGCCCTCCGGGGCATCCTGGGAGTTGTAGGCAGGGGCGTGCAGGCGCTGGTTTTTGTGCATTGTAGGTTGCATTGTGTAAGGGGCTTTAAATGCTGCCTAAACATTGTGAGAACTGGAGACAGGGCAGGAAGAAAGCACTTAGGGGAACCCTGAGTGCCGAGCCCTCGGGGGAGTGTAGTCTGTGCCGTCTCGGGGCTGGAAGTGGTTCCTGGTGCACAGTGGAGATGTAAAAGGAATGAGCGGGCGCCAAACCTCTGGAAAGTGCAGTCCATTCTGTGTCAGAGCTCGTTGTGCAGTCATCGTAGGAGCTGTAGACTAGGGAAAAGGGGAACAGCGGACGTGAAGCCTCAAGGAAGCGTAGTCCTTGCTGTCTCTAGGGCAGAATATGCTACCTGGGCATTATGGGTGTTGTAAGCAGGGGCGCGCGGGTGCCAGCACCGAGAAGGTCTGTCCGCACGGGCTCAGGATCCGGAAGTGCCTCTGCGGCATCGTGGGAGCTGCAGGCAAGGCCAGCGATGCGGACGCCTCTGGGAAGTGTAGTCCGCGCGGGCTCAGGGTCTGGAGGTGCCGCTTTGGGCACAGGGGGAGCTGTGGGCGAGGCAGTGTGCGCAGGAGCGGTCGGCGCTTGGCTGTGCCTCCGAGGTCGGGTGAGTTCCGGGCGCGCTGCTGCGAGGAGACGGTGCCCCACGGCGTCCCTGGGCATTTTCGTGCGGGTCCCGCTGTGAGAATCTTTCCGTCGGCTGTGGCGGCAGCCTGAGCACAGCATACTTGGCGCCCACAGGCTATCCCTGTGATTATCTTTCACAAAGTGGTCATACTTGTTGTCACTTACTGTTTCTCTGACTTGTGAGGCCGAGGGAGCCCCGTGTGTCCCCCGTGAAACCGCAGCCCCTTCACATCACCTGTAGGGGACAAAGGACTATTCCTCTACCCTCCAGGTCCTTCTGGCTGGTCTAAGAATTAAATTGACGTGAGACAGAATAACAGGAGAAAATCAAACGAAGTTTAATAACATGTGTGCATGGGAGAAACTGAGTAACTCGACAAGAGGGGAAAAGCCATCACCTGAAACACCATCTTCAGCTGAAGAGGAAGGAGCATGTTGGGGTAGTGGTTTGGGACTTCAGAGGGGAGGAAGGCAATTCACATGCAGATGGAAAAGCAAATGTTTGATAAGTGTTTGCTGGGTCATCTATAGACAATGGGACCTGAAAAAGATATATATA